AGCCCGGAGCCGGGAGGAGGCGGCGGGTGGGGCGCCGGGGTGGGGCTGGCCGCTTGGCCACGGGACAGGGAGTAGGGGACGGGGTGGGGGGCGATGGACTGTGAGGCCGCTGACTCCTGGGGGCCCCTCTGCGGGGTGGGTGCGGGTTGGGGTGAGGGCTGGGCCTCTGGGCATGCTTTCTGCCCAGATGCTAATGAGCAGGGGGCGGCGGGAGGGGATGTGGGAGTCCTAGCTGAGTGCCAGGGCGGGAGGCTCCTGTTGGAGTTGGGATATTTTGGGCATGAGCCTGGCTCAAGTTGTGACTGACTAGCCCATGTGACCTGGGATAGGTTGACAAAATACCCTGAAGCATTTGCTTTCCCTGGCAGTAAAGGGAAGCTAACCGAACACCGAGTCTGCCAGATTGCCCTGAGGATTGGTGAGAACCTGTATGCAGACCCCTCACCCCCTGCGACTGGGGCCGAGTTGCTGCTGTCATTATGTCCGTGGACAGTGTCCAGAATTTGGGCTCAGTTCCCGCTTCGCCACCTGCTGCCAGTGGTGGTGGAATGGCGAGGCCGTTTGCAGCTGTTTCCAACAGCTGGCCTGGCTCTCCAGTCCACAGAAGAGATTTTTGTCCACCTCTGCCTCTCCCCTCCCCCTCCCCCTCACCGAGCAGCCTCCGCCTTCTTTTACAGGATCTGGAGACATCCCCAACGGATGGTTTCTGCCCAAGCCTACACAGCCAGTTACCAGAGTGCTAGTGCACGGAAGGGCCTGCCAGGGGAATTTTCCAAGTGCTCCAGCCCCAGGCCTGGTGCTCCTGAGGTCAGCGGGGGAAGCCAGCAGTGCCAGTGGGATCTGAGGAGTGGCTGTAGCCCAGGCCATGCCAGGCCAGGGACTGCCCCTGCGTGTGGCCACCCTGCTGACGGGGCTGCTGGAATGCCTGGGCTTCGCGGGCGTCCTTTTTGGCTGGGCATCCCTGGTGTTTGTCTTCAAAAAAGAGCATTACTTTGAGGAGCTGTGTGAACACGATGCCAGGCTGATGGGCAATGCCACGGGCATGGAAGGTAAGGGAGCCATGACTTCTCTGGGAGGCTGGGTCTGGTTTCCAGGTGGTGGGAAGGGTAGGAAGGATTTCACTTCCTGGCCATCCTTTCTTTCTTTTTCTCTTTAATATATTTTTATTGATTTCAGAGGGGGGGGGGGGGAACAATAAAAAAGCAAAGAAGGGAGAGGGGGAGAGCGGGAGAGACATCAATGATGAGAGAGAATCATTCATCGGCTGCCTTCTGCACGCCCCTCCACCAGGGACTAAGCCCACAACCCAGGCATGTGCCTTGACCAGACTCAAACCTGGGACCCTTCAGTCCGCAGGCCGATGCTCTGTCCACTGAGCCAAACCGGCGAGGGCCCTGCCATCTTTCTGTGGAGAAAGGGAGGGATTGTCAGCCAGCCTTCCTCTGTGCCCCAACCTTAGTCTAAGGACCACCTGGGGAGGGACGTACCGGCGTCTGAGGGGGTAATTAGGGACCGTCACATTTCAGCTCACCTAGGGGAGAACTTTCCAGAGGCAAGCTGTCTGAGGTGGCAGGGGCTGCCCCAGACGAGAGCCAGGCTGGATGCCCACCTGGCAGGAAGTCCAGGGTGGAGGAGAGGTTGGCCCCTCCACCCCAGGCTCCCGAGCTCTTCCTGTCTCTCCTCCAGATTGCAAAGCCCAGGATGAGAAGTTCTTGCTCATCTTCACCGTGGCATCCTTCATGAACAACTTCATGACCTTCCCCGCCGGCTTCATCTTTGACCGTTTCAAGACCACCGTGGCCCGCCTCATAGCCATGTAAGTCCCGAAGGCCCAGCCTGGGCACAGGTGGGTAAGAGGAGTTCCTCTGGCAGCAGCCTCACTTGAGGGGAACCCAAGCCAGGCAGCTGGGCAGCCCTGCCAGGCCCTGTCCCAGAAGCTTTGCAGCGGGTGGACTAACCTTCCCACATCCCTACTTCCCTTTTCTCGCTTCCCCTTCGGCTCCACGTGAATGTGTGTTCAGCATGATGCTGAATTGAGCAGGAGCTCAGGCCTACTTCCTGGGGCCAGGGTTACCAAATGAGCAATACCTGGAATTGTCACTCGGCCTTATTCCTGGAGATCCTTGCCCACATCTCCTACGAGGCCTCACACCCAGGGGGCCCAGGCTTAGTCATCCTCCTCCTCCCTCCATCATCCTCCAAAAGGCTTAGCTGGTTATGTCTTATGGGGTCTCCAGTGGTGGAGCTTCCGTCTCTTCTGACCGAAAGCGAGCCTGTGGGGGTTTCCCATGCACATGAGTCAGGGAAGGTCAGGGGCTTTATCTTGTTCACACAGGTGCCCCTGGTGCTGGCATGTCCAGTGATAAGCAGCGGCTTACTGGGGGCTGATAGGACCCAAAGCAAGCACCTCCTGGCAGGTGTGTGAGAGATGAGTTGTCAGACAGAGGGACTGGAGGGCAGGCTGGGCCAGGAAATAACCCAGAGAGTCAAGTTAGTCCCTGCTCTTTAAGTGTTTGGGTGCAGAATGACTTTACCTCAGTTTCCTGGTCCTTGTCTCCCTTCTCTCCCCTTCC